ATAATAAAAATAAAAATAAAAAAAAATGTTTAAGAAGTGTTAAAAGTCAAAAGATAAAATTGCAAACGGATATAAAAAAGAAAAGAAAAAAAAAGTAAACACGTTTATAATGTTGAAAAGACAAAACTGTACAAAGAAGAATAAAAAACACAAAACAAATTAAAAAATGCCGCCAATTTTCTTCCGACTGGGTCATCAGCGATACCATGTTCTCCAGTGTAACGTGACTGTTTACACCTTCGAACATGGCCCGCCTCTCCAAGTCCCATTTTCTGCATGAGAAAAGGGTGTGCTCCGCGTTGTCCTCAGGGAACTGGCAATACGCACACACCTCGTCCTCGCGTAATTTAAAGCGACACAGGTACGAGTTAAAACACCCGTGACCTGTGAGCGCTTGAGTCAAATAATAGGAAACCTGACCTATTTATCCTGTTTCCTATTTATCCAGGTGGCGAGTGCCGGGATAAGGCGATAAGTCCATCGACTTTTTTCCTCACCATCCCATTTTTCTTGCCATCTTTCTATGAGCCTGTGCCTCGCTTCTTTGCACAGCTTTATGGCGGCTCTCTTCGCCTTATCCTAATAATATTATTATTAATTAATACCTATTATTAATTTATTATTAATTAATATTATTAATTTATTAGTAACTAATTAATTAAATTATAAATTAATAACAAATTAAAATGAAAAGTTTTTAAATATTGGAAAGAATAAGAACAAAATCAAATAATAATCAGTCGAGCTGTCCAGTTATTAGATACATTACTGCAGTGCCATCGACACGACAAACTTAGAAATATGTAGACGTCCGCATGAAAAGGGAACACATTGGCACTATATTGGACTTATCTACACGGAGAGAAGATTCAACAGCAAAATACTGTGTACGCACAGCAAAATGCTGTGTATGCACAGCTCACAGCAAATCAACGTGTCAGAGGAGCACTAGACTGCGCATGAACAATTACACTGGAAAATACTCTGTCACTCACATGAAATCTTTGTGTCGACACAGTATTTTTGAGGTTTGTACAGAATAATTGACAGAGGGCGCACTGAATTTCTTGATGCTCTTGACACTCTTTCAGTCTGATAGACTGTATACAGTATTTTGCTGTTAAATCTTCTCTCCGTGTACATGGGCGAATTCTTTGCAAAATTTGAAAAATTTTGAGTGGTCTTAGAACATTTTTGGTGAAAAATTCGATGAGTTACAGAATTTTAAAGTTTAGAATGTCAAAAACCTCATTTCGAGAAAATCGAAATCAAAGATTGTAATGTGAATATCTTTGGTTCTTCTAGGAACTTATTCAGATAAGAATTGTTTTAAGTCTAGTACACCTTTAAGATGAAAAATTAATAGGTTTCGAATTTCCCCCTCCTTCATTTTGAAACAATGAAAAAATAAAGGACATCCGACAAAGTGGTCCCTTTTCTAAAATTGCGTTTTTTAATTCATAAACCTGATTTTTTGCAAAGTTAATGGTTGGATGTTATTTTATTGAGTTATTTGAAGCAAAAAAAGAGAAAGTAGACATACAAAATTTTTTTCATGGACTTTATATTATACAGTCGAACCTGGATAAGCGAGAGTTCAAGGGACCGGCAATTTTCTCTCGCTTATAGAGGTTTCTCGCTTATCCAGTTTCTTAACTACAGAAGTCTAAGTCACGGGACCAGCAAATAACTCTCGCTTATAGAGGTTTCTCGCTTATCCAGTTCTCTCTTATCCAGGTTCGACTGTATATACAGTCGAACCTGGATAAGCGAGAGTTTAAGGGACCGGCAATTTTCTCTCGCTTATAGAGGTTTCTCGCTTATCCAGTTTCTTAACTACAGAAGTCTAAGTCACGGGACCAGCAAATAACTCTCGCTTATAGAGGTTTCTCGCTTACCCAGTTCTCTCTTATCCAGGTTCGACTGTAATCTAAGAAAATATAGAAATTTTCATTTCTAAAAGAACGTAATTAAAAATTGTAATGCGAATTTTTCTGATTGTTCTAAGAAGTTATTCAGATGAGAGTTGTTTCAAGTCTAATACACTCTGAAGATGAAAAATCAAAAGGTTTTGAATTTTTCCGCTCCCTCAATTTTGAAACAGAAACAACTTTTGCAACAGAACGACAAAGTGGTTAGTGGTCCCTTTTCATTTTTTTGTCTAACAACGAAATAAAATACTTAAAGTATCAATAAATTAATAAAAAATGCATGATTCGACGTGTCAGACCCTGTAGATTAAGAAAAAAGAATAAAAAAAGTTTCGAGATTTTTTTTTAAATTAGTCAATTGCGATTATCTTCGAATCCAGAACAGACAAAGTGGTCCCTTTTCATGCGGACGTCCGCTTATAATTTCTAGGAGTACCATTAAAAAAACTAGACAGAAGTTATGTCTAGCCAATAGCAAATTTAACTTGAATCTTTGACGAAGACCGTTGGTCCGTGACAAATACTGTCCAGTAACTTGAATAATCGAGTGGCTCCATGACAAATTTCTACTAGGGCCCTGCCAGGAGGTTGCAAAAAACCGACTCAAAAGATTAATTTTTAATGACAATCTAAAGGTGAACATTTTATTTCAGTATTAATGTTGAAAAAATTTTAGTGTGGCCTACAAGCAGAACAGCGCTTTGGGGCGCTAAGCCCCCATGCACAAATTACGATAAAATTCATTCTCGATCCCCGACTACAAAAAACTAACTAATAAGAAATTGCTAATAATTATTAAAAGATGAACAATTTACATACTACTATACGCTCAATGGCGCCCTCACCTACGACTCGTTACAAAAACCTAGCGCTCGTTCCAAAAAGGCCGCTAGTTCACAATTATTACGCAATGTACTATTTTGAATTCTTATTTTAACACTTTGAAATAATTATTCTATTATAAAAAATTAAAGAATTGTCATGTATAGTTTTAATTTGACAATAACTTGAAAATAGTTTGAAAATTATATTCTTGTCATGCATGGAAAAAATAAGTTCAGCAGATTTTACGAAACTAATTTCGCACTAGCGGATATTTAAGATTCCTTGACAAAGTTTTTCAAAAACCCAGAAACTTTCACTACTTTAAGCAGAACCATTTTCGAGAAACTGCAACTAGTTTTGTAATTTCTAAAACAAGCTTGAATGTAGAAATTTTTCGTATTTTCTGATAAACATTTTATTAAAAAATGGTAAAAATGTTTCGTGCAATCTAAAAACGCGTGGTTTGAGTTTTCACTTCGCTGTCTATCGTGAATTCTCGAACAGAGTTTCGTAAAATTTTATACGGGGTGTTCCAAAAGTCGCGTTATAAATAGATATGTTAAAGCTTGTCTCGTCGCGTCGGTATTAACTTGTCTGCTGTATAGAGATCAATATGTGGAAGGAAAAAGAGAACTGCTTTACCTGCCGGTAACATTTGGATAATTGTTTTCTTTTACGTATTTTACATTTCATTGTTCCAAATTCATAACATTTTTTATGTGATTTTGTAATCCAAACTTTTAATTATTATTAATTTCTTTTAATTTACATTCCAATAAATTTTATAGTTTATCATAATATTTACCGATGGCAATATATATATATATATATTAATTTCTCAAAATTTTCATTAATTCTAATTTTTATTAGTTTTAACTGTTATTACTTCAAATTTTAGACAATTTAATATTAAAATTTTTTGAGTTTGAATTTAATTTTGAAAATTTGTTGGCAATTTATTTATAATTTAAAATTAAGAATAAAATTATTTTTTAAAAATTGAAAAATTTTATAGAGATTTTATAATTAAATTAAATTATAATTAAAAAATGTTATTTTAAAAACTATAAAATATTTTGTATAAATTTTTAAAAAATGATTTTTTTAAAAATTAATATTCAGTATATTGACATTTCTCACAAGCGCAGTTTTAATCTCCTCAGTTAGTATATAAAGAAACTCAATTCTTTCATCTACAAGTGCGAGTTATATTGTATGTGCGTTGCGTCAGAATTCGTTTATATGTATGCGTATTTCCGTTAAGTTAGTGTCAGAATAAAATAAGCCAATCCAAGCGAACCATTGCGTTGTAGAGTGCAGTCATATGTGTCGAACCAATCATCTATCTCCTATAGAAGACGAGAAAAAATGGTCTTGAGAGCTCATTGGTACTTTAAGAAATTCTTTTTTCTGCTTCATTCGCTTTTTTCTCCGTAAATATTTTTTTCCGTGGCGCATGCGCTTCAGGGCAAACATTTTACAAAACTCTTGAATTAGAACGTCCAACCGATCATTTGTGAATTCCACAGAAGTTTTTTTGAGTTTTCGAGAAACGCAGTCATCATATATTACTATTGATTCTGTTTTAACTTATACTAAACTCCTCTCCGTATCCGCTATTCCAAAATTAGTTTCGTAAAATGTACTAAATTAATTTTTTCCGTGTGGACTTTTTTTGCGCAGAAATTTTTTTATTATATTGAGGATGCTAATCAGTCATAAAATGAACAACTGGTTATTAGGTACTTAATTTTTTAATATATTTTAAACAAAATTTCAGTAATATATATAATATTCTTATAAAAAGCATTTTTTAACCCTTGCAGCACGCACCTCTTTTTTGAATAAGAAGCCAACTCAAGGTTTCTGTGGCTCTTTTCATTTCTTATAACTCAATAATTTAAAAACTTATCATTAAATTTACATAAAAGTTTTTTTTTAATATTCTTTATACATTACAGAATAAGTTTCCATACTTGAAAAGTTTCATTATAGATATTTTATTATAAAAAAACCAACAAATTTCCAGAAATTTTATTTTTTATTTAAAGATGTTTGTGTATTAAGTGTTCTTAAAAACAGTTATTTTTAAAATTTTCTTTAAAATTAATTGAGAATTTCTGTGTGGTATTTTTGTCCTTCTGGAATGAATCTTCCTATTATACAGATGATGACCTAGTAGAAATTTCATATTTCTGGTTTGCAGTAGTTTTTTATTCGCTAATTTTTAATCGGATTTTTCAGGTTTCCCCGCGGGCGGGTACTCCTCTTTCTCCGACGTCAAAAAACCATACGGTGCATCAGAGTCCAAATGGAACTCCAATTAGCAATCCAACTAGTCCTATGGCGGATAAGAATAAAATCAAAAATGGTATGGCAAATATTGGAGACATTGAGATTACAAATGGCGACACGTGGAGTGGAAATGATGAAGCTCCATCACCAGTACAGCCTCCGTCCTCAGCCAGCTCGGGCTTCAGCGATGATGATAGCCTTCATGGTGACTTGGGTCTTCAGGCAGTCAGCATGGAACAACTCGTTGAGTCAATACATTCAAGAGGCCGCGCTGGGCTCGTAGCAGAGTATGCTGAAATTAGACAAAGACCGCCCGAGGGTACCTTCAACAATGCGAAGTAAGTACGACATTAATCAATGAAATTTAGAAAACAATTTTACCATAATCAAACTAAAAGTTAATTACACTAAAGATACAACTACAAAAAGGATGTCTTTGTTTAAGACACTTTTGATTCAATGTTTAAGGCGTTTTTAGATGCCTTATAGGAAGACATTATAAATACCTTTATTCGAAAGAGTAGGGATTTTACAATTTGTCAGTATTTATAGTACATTATGCAACAAGGGAGGTAAGTCCGAGTTTATGTGCCTAAAACAATATTGAAGATCGAGGTTACCTTCATGTTGTATAAGGTGGATTCCACGTCAGTTCAACACACTTATTTTCATGACTTGTTGGGATTTGGCTGTACTTTTGTGAATTTTTGTGACCTTTTTTCTATGAGCCATGTAAAAATCAGAGTAGGACCATGAGAATTTTTGAGGAAAATAATAATTTATCATTATTTTACATATAAAATGATGATTTATAATTAATTTCTTCAAAATGTCCCATGGTCCCACTCTGATTTTTACATGGCTCATATGAAAAAAGGTAAGCTTTCGATTGGAATAGGTTACGAAAAAATAAAAAACACCGATTTTGATATACAGTAGAACTTGGTTAATACGATTCTGTAGGGACCGCACTAAGAATGCGTCTGATGCGGGAAAACGTATTAGGTGGGATATAAAATGTATGTCTTTAATTGCAGGGACCACTATAAATGAGCGTCTTAAGCGGGAAATCGTATTAAACGGGATCGTATTAACCGGGTTCTACTGTATATTAAAATTAAGAATTTGACTTTGAATTTCAAGGTCAAATTGAGAGAAAACAACTTTTTTTATCACCAGCTTATAGCCCGTGAAAACCCCTTTAAAAATCACTATTCATACTTTAAATTTGATTAATTTTACTTATCAATATATTAAATCGAGAAAAAGATATTTTCAAAAAAATCAAAATTTTGAAACTCCATAACTCAAAAAATATTTTATAAAATTCAAAAAAAATTAATATTTACACATCTACTAATAATAGTAACATTTTAGCAAAGTTTGGAGAAAATTCATTTTTTTACCTGGGCAGTTGAGGGATTTTGCCCCATATGTTCGTAATATATGGTTACGTTTTATTTTTTTACTCCGAATCCCTTTGAGATCCCAAGATGAAACTTACAGGACATGTAAAGCACATTTGCCCTAATATTTAGTAAAATTTTGAAAAAAATCAAAGATGTTTTTTCAAAAACGGATTTTTAATTTTTCAAAATTTCAAAAAAAAAAATTTTTTTGAATTTTTTTTTATATTAATTTTAACTTAAAATATACTTAAAATCAAAGAAATCCTTTTTTTTAAATCCAAAATCGGTTAATTAAAACCAAAGTGATACACGGAGAGAAATCTGCTGCTAATATTACTCGAAAGAGTAATAAACAAAACTTAAATTGCTTAACGTTTCTCTTATATTTTTAGCATCGATTCATATACTTATTGTAAAAATACTTTCAATGCAATAAGCATAAGAGACAGTAGCTAATTTTGCACGAAATCTTTATTATAAATACAAAGAGAACGTGCTATAAAAGAATTTCAAATCATCAGGAAGAAAAAAAATTCGATAATTTGAAACACTTCTTCTGAGCTATAAACTCTCAGTTATATAGTGTTAAAAAATCATGTTAACAGAGGGAGAAGTCGCTCTCGCCACCTGGCGGTGAAAGTATATGAACTGTGGTATTCTGTATCATTAATTAAAAAAACCACGTGCGATCCTATGTAAGATACCATGTGGAAAATTATATGGGAAATAATATACGATGTCACCTGGGATTTTATATAATTCTCATTCCTATGTAAAATCCTACGTAAGATTTCATATGGTTTCATATGCGGGAAATAACATAGGAAATTACATGGGATCTTACGTAGGATTTTACATAGGAATGAGAATTATATGAAATCCCAGGTGACATCGTATATTATTTCCCATATAATTTTCCACATGGTATCTTACATAGGATCTCACGTGGTTTTTTTTTATTAATGATACAGAATACCACAGTTCATATACTTTCACCGCCAGGTGGCGAGAGCGACTTCTCCCTCTGTTAACATGATTTTTTAACACTATATAACTGAGAGTTTATAGCTCAGAAGAAGTGTTTCAAATTATCGAATTTTTTTTCTTCCTGATGATTTGAAATGCTAATACAATTTATTATTTAATTTTTAATTAAATAATTTTTAATCCTTTGAAAATTCTCACAATGGATCCCTAATGTACATATTAAATCTTTTGTGAAATCCTATGTGAAATCTTATATATGAAACATGAAATCCCATATGAAATCCTTTATAGAATCCTTTATGTATTCTCACATAGAAATTCATGTGGATTTTTATGTAGATATACACAAACTCAAATTCCCACATGAATTCCTGTTTCAAATCGTGTTCCAAATATACATGTGTTTTTACATGGGATCCCATGTGGATTCTTACGTGGGATCTGGGATTTTATACAGGTTTTTGTATAAGAACCCACGTAAGATCCCATGTAGGATCCCATGTGGGTATTTTTAATAGGTTAAGTAAGATTCTATGTAGGAAGTTTGGTATGATTAAATATAGGTAAATTTTTAATAATTAAGTAAGATTTTATGTAGGAATTTTGGTAAGATTTCATGTAGGTAATTTTTTAATAACTAAGTAAGATTTTATGTAGGAATTCTGGTAAGATTCCATGTAGGTAAATTTTTAATAATTAAGTAAGATTTTATGTGGGAATTTTTCTACGATTCTATATAGGCAAATTTTTAATAATTATTAAGTAAGATTTTAACTAAGAATTTTTCTAAGATTTTATATTGGTCCCTACTAAAAATAAAATCAGGAATCGTCATGAATGGTCAGAATTTCTCAACATTCCTGAACAGTCTCACCACTTCTGACGTTTTCGAACGTTTCTCACTATTCCTAACCAAATACTTTACAAGCTCCTCCCACTTTACTCCCACCATTTTCGAAGCTGTGACCATTTCTGAAATTCTTGACTATTTCTGAAATGTGTGAACACATAACCTATAAAAATTTTGGTACATCTTTCTAATTTTGGTAAAGTCTCATGAAAATTTATATATACAAATCTTTCAAATTTATTTTTTACATTTCAGAATACATTATTCTATTATAAAAATTGTTCTTTTAACTTAACAAAAGTTCTCATTTTTCAAATTGGTATAATTATTGAATTAATTATACAGCAAAAGTAGGTAAATAAATCAAAACATTCGGACCATTCTTTTAACATTATTTAATATATTTATTTAATGTATATTTATAATATATTAATTTAATATATGTATATTTACTTGTAATTATTTAATATAGTTAATTAATAATAAATTTTGATTCATAATATTAGTAATTTACTATACCAGTCAGTACTTATTATGAGAAGTATTTGCATTATAATTGAAATACAGTTATATTTAAATTATTATTAATCATTAATAGAATAATTTCTTACTATAATGATTATTAATAATTTAAATTTAAAATTTATAAAAATTTCAATATTGCATTAATAATTCATTATTATTATAAATTATAATGTTAAATTAAATTAATATTAAATACTAAATTTATTTTAAATGCAGATATAATAATAATTATTATTAATCTGTATTCGTATTATAGTTTATGAAACATTCCAAATTGTAAAGTTAAGACTTAATTTATTATTGATTCAATTAATAATGTTAATTTTTATTAATTCACATAACCTATTATGAATAAATTGAAATATAATTAAATAATAAAAATTATTTGACAGTTTATTCTGATTTATTGATAATATTGGTAATTGAATTTTATTATTTTACAGTTGCTCTTTATATAGACAGTTGAATCCAGAAATATGTAAGTCGGTTCGGTAGTCGCAGTCGTTAGGGCAGTTAGTTTAGGCACTAGGTTAGGTCATGCGTCGGGGTTCGATCCCCGTAGGGTCCAAATTTTAATTTAATTCCGGGAATTAGTTTCAAGTTGTTCCGTATGTAAACAAACTGATATTAATTAATAAAATATATTTTTTAAAATTAATTTGTTGCAACTTTTTGCATATTGTTTAAATAAATAAAACAGAAGTGTCTTAAAAATATGGTCAAAAATGAGATACAAATGGTCTCAAATAGTCACCAATTATGGGCGGGGTCAACAAAGAGGAGGGGATAGTAGCAAACTTGTGACCACTTTAAACTTCCTCCTGATCAGTTGTGATAGATTTCTGACGAGATCCATCCAGAATCGTAAGAATACTGGATTAAAGTGGTCAGGCGGCCTGACCATTTGTCTGATCATTCCTGATTTTATTTTTAGTAGGGGTAAGTGTGGTGGAAATTTACAAAGGAAATTGACATAGGAAATCGACACCAAAATTATGTCAGAAAAGATGTAGGTAATCATATTGGAATCAACGTATATTTTTATCCAGTAACACGAATGCGTATTCCTATATCAATTCTCATAAAAAATCCTGTGCCAAATTCATATGTGCTTTTTTTATGGATTTCTATGTAGATTCTTACAATCATTCTAGGATTTTTTATAAATTTATAGTTAGTATTCTATGTAAGATCTTATGTAGGATCCTACATAGGGATTTTTAGTAGGGCACTGCAAACTTCTTAGCTGTGGTAGCTAATTTTCAGAGATTTTACAGCAAACATATGTTTACTGCTGCAGCTAATTTCTTTTTTTCCGTGTATAGAATACTTACTATGAAAATGACTATAATTAAAAAGAATGTCAAATTATGTTCATATAATTAACTTTATTGTCCACTCAATCAAATACGAAGACATTGTTGGCTGTTTCCTTACGATTTCAAATATCAACGCCTTTCTCCAAAGAAACTGAATTTTTCTCGAGTGTAAAGACTTTATCATTTAAATTTTGTATCAAGCTACATGTATTTTTAACGTCTAGCCTCAAATCTATATGCGATTTTGTCAAATTTAATTAGAAAGAACATATACAATAAAATTAAGCTACTCGGAACTTTGATCTTCGAAAGTAATAGAAATACAATAAAAATATAGACTTTATAAAGTTGTAACAAAGTGTTTCTTTACTTACTCTGTGAAATCTTTCGGCATTTTATTTGCCGCGTACAAATTAATATTCCTTAAATAATAGACTTTAAATTATTATTTATTAGACTTTAAATTTTATTGATTCACGTCAAACTGAGAATCAACAATCATTTTCTCCTTCTGAGAAAACTTACTTTAAATTTTTCCACTACTGTAAAATTTAGTTTCTCTTAAAATATTGTTATTTAAACCTGAAAATTAGCGAACCGTCAGATCGCTGGTCAACACTATTGTTATTAAACATAAGAAGGTGATACTCGATTTATCATTTCATGTCCACTGTCATCGCGAGATCCGGATTTTCAATCTTCGGGATCACTGCCGAGAGATTGATTCGTATTCCAACAAGTAATGTTTTACTTGTAATCATTACGGGTCATACGAAGTGACAATAAGGCGAAAGTCCATCGACGAGGACATCAGCTGTCAAAACACTGGCTGCAGCCATCTTGCGATCCGGACGTCGTCGCGCAGTGCCCCTCGCGGAGACTAAACGAACTTTCATGAACTTTTTTTCGACGGTCGATAAATGACCTGAATTACTTACTGTCGCGCATCGATTACCTACCGAAAATCTTTATATCAAGTGCGCGTGAGAGCAGGTAACTATCAAAATTCCCCAACGGCAAATTTCCCCAAGCGGCGTTTGACCCAATATGCTATAGTGAGTGCTGTTTTCGATGATGTTGGAGAAATCTGCAAAAATGATAAAAATGTAGTTGTGAGAAGTCCGCGAGATGCCGACATTGTTTCAGTTTGCGTATTTGTAAAATTCACATAGTCGTAGACATTTTTGTAGAATTCAGAAAATAATATGAGTGGTGATCAGGATTCCTGGTGGTGATTCAATAAATAAAGTGTTTAATTATTAAAATTAATTAATTGATTGATTAATTAATTAATTAATTAATTAATTAGTATTAAAAATACATGTTATGATTATTTAGTGTTATATAATTCTAATTACAATTTTGTAAAATGAACTAATTAATTAATTAATTAATTAATTAATTAAATAATTAAGAAGTGACAGAGTTATTGCCTGTCTTAATTAATTATGTGGATTGATTGTCAACAGTTCCAAATGAAAAAAAAATAATGAGAATAATAATGGATACCAATTTAGAGGTTAGTTTCAATTTTACTTTCAATAATTTTTTTTTCTTATATTATTTATGTTTACAATGTTTACTAATAATTTATATTTAATAATAATAATAATAATAATAAGAAATAAAAATGAATTGTAAAATAAATCAATAGAAAAAGAATTGTTTGATAATTAACATAAAAAGAATTGTATGTATTATTAAATAAAATATCAATTAATGGAAAACAAATTGAAATTGTAAGAGAAGTTAGTAATTAAAATCAAAATTATTAAGAGTGTACAGTTATGTAAAAAGTTTTATTCGAGGTGAATTAAATTTTGTTTTTCTTTTAATAATAAACATTTTTTTGCTGACACTCAAAAAATAGAGAAAACTTAATTACTATTCAATTGAAAGGGTATAAAAGTAAAATCGCATCACATTTTTTAAGGAAGAGAAAAATAATTCATTAAAAAAATGTACAAAGCAGATCTTTTTTATTTGTCTTTTTTTATTATTTATTTATTTATTATTTTTCTTTTTATTTATGGTAGTAAATAAATAATTGTATTAATTGTATATTTTTATTTTAACGTTTTATACATTCCTATATTTTACAAATATTATTTATTATTATTATTATTATTTACACTATTTGAATTTCTATTATTTTTACATCATTATATTTATTTTTCTTGTTAATAATGCTTTTATTATGATTCTAAAATAAAAAATTTGAATTGTAATTGTTAAATAATTATTTTTAATTAAAATTAAAATTTTCAATTAGTAATTAACGTTCATAAATTGATTTGCGTGTGGAAATGAACTTTTCATTAAATTATAGAACACAATTATGTAAATTAATAAAATAATAATCAAATTTTTTCTAATTAAAACAATTTTTTTTAGCTTTCTGCAAGTGGACAGAGACACCAAAAGATGTCGAATCAACCTCAAGGCAACCAGAGACGAGGAAACAATTTAAATCGACTTCAAATTGCTTCAAGACTTGCTTTCATTAGAGTTATTGTCAATTATTGTTCATATTTTTTTTTAATTAATATCAATTACTACTATTAATTATTACTAATATTAGTATTAATAGAACATTTCGTTCGAGAACTATTTATTTTAAAAAAAACATTTTTTTTCAATATTTATAATTTGTTTTTTCAATAAATACAAATTTTTTTTAAAAACTTTCAATTCACTTTTTCTAAATTTTGGAAATTGTACTAATTATACTTAAAATATTGACTAATTTATCAAACAAATAGAATAATTTATAATTCGTTTGCTTCTTGGTTACATTTCTTGGGAATGCGTCATGTATATAGTTAATATATTAATTTGTAATTTGTAGGATCTAAATAATTAAAAAAAATTGCATTATAATCTTATATAATAATATATAATACACTATCTGTAAATATTGTTTTATTTTTCCACATGAAACTTTAAAACATTTCTGTAAGTTATTTGAGTAAAAGTAAAGTCTGATTAAAACTAATTGAATTTGAATCAAATGTAACGTTACTGTTGATGAAGCAAAACTATATCCTGCATATTAAGCTATACCACTAGATTTTAATTTCGATTGACATAATCTTTAAAACCTAAAAAAATTGAAAATAAATTCAGATTCTATAAAACAGAAAATGTACGAATACTCTAATTGCCAGCAAAACAGAAAAAATAAATTACAAATATTTTTGCGTAAAGTAAAAAATATTTGACGCCTTCTTAACAAGAAATTCAGCATTTTGTAAAAACTTATGTTTGATGAACTTAGATATTTCTAAGCTTTGTAAAAAAAAAGAAATTTTTTAATACACAATTTTTACACGATTTTCGCCAGAAAGTGCATTTTCACTTTTTAATAATAAATTACCATAACGTGCACTCTAGCTCAAAAAATGTTAAGACATTTTCAAAATCAAATAAACAGAAAATTCTTATTTCTCAACAGAAACTCATCGAGTGTCCAGACTATAAGAAGGAAATGACATTGCAACGCAGTTTCTGCAAGAGAAAAAAATGTTACTATGCTTGGAGTTACGTTTAATAGATATAAATAATTAAAAGTTCAACAATTTGTTTCCAAAAATTCAAAATTTTCATGAAACTGAGACTTATAAAAATTGGATAATTTGAATATTTAAAGATAGGCAATTTTTTTCAGAATTAAATAAAGTTTTTCTAGATTCGTTTCAAAAATAGAAAGATTTTCCAAAAGTTTTCAGAAGGGAGCAAAGAAATCCCAAGATTTTCTAAAAAAAATGTTGACGTTCAATGAACTTTGCCAAAAAAAAGTATGAAAATTCAAAATTTTTAAATACAGTAAATTTTTTTCTGCATCAATTAAAGTTTCTCTAGATTCGTTTCAACAGTAGAAAGATTTTCCAAAAGTTTTTAGTAGGGAGCAAACAAAATCCAAAGAATCTCTGAAAAATTTTGACGTTCGATGAACATGGGAAAAAAAAATTAGGAAAATTCAAAATTTTTACAGACAAGAAATTTATTTTTGCAGCAATTAAAGTTTTTCTAGATTCGTTTCAACAATAGAAAGATTTTCCAAAAGTTTTCATAAGAGAGCAAACAAAATCCAAAGAATCTCTGAAAAATTTTGACATTCGATGAACTTTGCCAAAAAAAATTAGGAAAATTCAAAATTTCTAGAGACAAGAAATTTATTTTTGCAGCAACTAAAGTTTTTCTAGATTCGTTTCAACAATAGAAAGATTTTCCAAAAGTTTTTAGGAGGGAGCAAATAAAATCCAAAGAATCTCTGAAAAATTTTGACATTCAATGAACTTTGCCAAAAAAAATTAGGAAAATTCAAAATTTTTGGAGACAAGAAATTTATTTTTGCAGCAACTAAAGTTTTTCTAGATTCGTTTCAACAATAGAAAGATTTTCCAAAAGTTTTCAGAAGGGAGCAAACAAAATCCAAAGAATCTCTGAAAAATTTTTACATTCGATGAACTTTGCCAAAAAAAATTAGGAAAATTCAAAATTTTTAGAGACAAGAAATTTATTTTTGCAGCAACTAAAGTTTTTCTAGATTCGTTTCAACAATAGAAAGATTTTCCAAAAGTTTTCAGAAGGGAGCAAACAAAATCCAAAGAATCTCTGAACAATTTTTACATTCGATGAACTTTGCCAAAAAAAATTAGGAAAATTCAAAATTTTTAGAGACAAGAAATTTATTTTTGCAGCAACTAAAGTTTCTCTAGATTCGTTTCAACAATAGAAAGATTTTCCAAAAGTTTTTGGGAGGGAGCAAACAAAATCCAAAGAATCTCTGAAAAATTTTGACGTTCCATGAACTTTGCCAAAAAAAATTAGGAAAATTCAAAATTTTTAGAGACAAGAAATTTATTTTTGCACCAACAAAAGTTTTTCTAGATTCGTTTCAACAATAGAAAGATTTTCCAAAAGTTTTCAGGAGGGAGCAAACAAAATCCAAAGAATCTCTGAAAAATTTTGACGTTCGATGAACATGGGAAAAGAAAGTTAGGAAAATTCAAAATTTTTAAAGACAAGAAATTTATTTTTGCAGCAACTAAAGTTTTTCTAGATTCGTTTCAACAATAGAAAGATTTTCCAAAAGTTTTCAGAAGGGAGCAAACAAAATCCAAAGAATCTCTGAAAAATTTTGACATTCGATGAACTTTGCCAAAAAAAACTAGGAAAATTCAAAATTTCTAGAGACAAGAAATTTATTTTTGCAGCAACTACAGTTTTTCTAGATTCGTTTCAACAATAGAAAGATTTTCCAAAAGTTTTTAGGAGGGAGCAAACAAAATCCAAAAAATCTCTGAAAAATTTTGACGTTCGATGAACATGGGAAAAAAAAATTAGGAAAATTCAAAATTTTTACAGACAAGAAATTTATTTTTGCAGCAACTAAAGTTTTTCTAAATTTCTTTCAACAATAGAAAGATTTTCCAAAAGTTTTCAGGAGGGAGCAAACAAAATCCAAAGAATCTCTGAAAAATTTTGACATTCGATGAACTTTGCCAAAAAAAATTAGGAAAATTCAAAATTTTTAGAGACAAGAAATTTATTTTTGCAGCAACTAAAGTTTTTCTACATTCGTTTCAACAATAGAAAGATTTTCCAAAAGTTTTCAGGAGGGAGCAAACAAAATCCAAAGAATCTCTGAACAATTTTTACATTCGATGAACTTTGCCAAAAAAAATTAGGAAAATTCAAAATTTTTAGAGACAAGAAATTTATTTTTGCAGCAACTAAAGTTTTTCTAGATTCGTTTCAACAATAGAAAGATTTTCCAAAAGTTTTCAGAAGGGAGCAATCAAAATCCAAAGAATCTCTGAACAATTTTTACATTCGATGAACTTTGCCAAAAAAAATTAGGAAAATTCAAAATTTTTAGAGACAAGAAATTTATTTTTGCAGCAACTAAAGTTTTTCTAGATTCGTTTTAACAATAGAAGGACTTTCCAAAACCTTTTAGGAGGAAGCAAACAAAAACCAAAGAATCTGAAAAATTTTGACGTTCCATGAACTTTGCCAAAGAAAATTAGGAAAATTCAAAATTTTTACAGACAAGAAATTTATTTTTGCAGCAACTAAAGTCTTTCTAGATTCGTTTCAACAATAGAAAGATTTTCCAAAAGTTTTCAGGAGGGAGCAAACAAAATCCAAAGAATCTCTGAAAAATTTTGACGTTCCATGAACTTTGCCAAAGAAAATTAGGAAAATTCAAAATTTTTACAGACAAGAAATTTATTTTTGCAGCAACTAAAGTTTTTCTAGATTCGTTTTAACAATAGAAGGACTTTCCAAAAGTTTTCAGGAGGGAGCAAACAAAATCCAAAGAATCTCTGAAAAATTTTGACGTTCGATGAACTTTGCCAAAAAAAATTAGGAAAATTCAAAATTTTTAGAGACAAGAAATTTATTTTTGCAGCAACTAAAGTTTTTCTAGATTCGTTTTAACAATACAAGGACTTTCCAAAAGTTTTCAGGAGGGAGCAAACAAAATCCAAAGAATCTCTGAAAAATTTTGACGTTCCATGAACTTTGCCAAAAAAAATTAGGATAATTCAAAATTTTTAGAGACAAGAAATTTATTTTTGCAGCAACTAAAGTTTTTCTAGATTTGTTTTAACAATAGAAGGACTTTCCAAAACCTTTTAGGAGGAAGCAAACAAAAACCAAAGAATCTGAAAAATTTTGACGTTCCATGAACTTTGCCAAAGAAAATTAGGAAAATTCAAAATTTTTACAGACAAGAAATTTATTTTTGCAGCAACTAAAGTCTTTCTAGATTTGTTTCAAAAATAGAAAGATTTTCCAAAAGTTTTTAGGAGGGAGCAAACAAAATCCAAAGATTCTCTGAAAAATTTTGTCGTTCGATGAACATGGGAAAAAAAAATTAGGAAAATTCAAAATTATTGGAGACAAGAAATTTATATTTGCAGCAACTAAAGATTTTCTAGATTCGTCTCAACAATAGAAAGATTTTCCAAAAGTTTTCAGAAGGGAGCAAACAAAATCCAATAGAAAATCTTTAATAGTTGCTGCAAAAATAAATTTCTTGTCTCCAATAATTTTGAATTTTCCTAATTTTTTTTTCCCATGTTCATCGAACGACAAAATTTTTCAGAGAATCTTTGGATTTTGTTTGCTCCCTCCTGAAAACTTTTGGAAAATCTTTCTATTGTTGAAACGAATCTAGAAAAACTTTAGTTGCTGCAAAAATAAATTTCTTGTCTCTAAAAATTTTGAATTTTCCTAATTTTTTTTGGCAAAGTTCATCGAATGTCAAAATTTTTCAGAGATTCTTTGGATTTTGTTTGCTCCCTCCTGAAAACTTTTGGAAAGTCCTTCTATTGTTAAAACGAATCTAGAAAAACTTTAGTTGCTACAAAAATAAATTTCTTGTCTGTAAAAATTTTGAATTTTCCTAATTTTTTTTGGCAAAGTTCATGGAACGTCAAAATTTTTCAGAGATTCTTTGGATTTTGTTTGCTCCCTCCTGAAAACTTTTGGAAAATCTTTCTATTGTTGAAACGAATCTAGAAAAACTGTAGTTGCTGCAAAATTAAATTTCTTGTCTCTAAAAATTTTGAATTTTCCTAGTTTTTTTTGGCAAAGTTCATCGAATGTCAAAATTTTTCAGAGATTCTTTGGATTTTGTTTGCTCTCTTATGAAAACTTTTGGAAAATCTTTCTATTGTTGAAAGAAATTTAGAAAAACTTTAGTTGCTGCAAAAATAAATTTCTTGTCTGTAAAAATTTTGAATTTTCCTAATTTTTTTTTCCCATGTTCATCGAACGTCAAAATTTTTCAGAGATTCTTTGGATTTTGTTTGCTCCCTCCTAAAAACTTTTGGAAAATCTTTCTACTGTTGAAACGAATCTAGAAAAACTTAAGTTGCTGCAAAAATAAATTTATTGTCTCTAAAAATGTTGAATTTTCGAATTTTTTTTCATATGTTAATCGAACGTCAAAATTTTTCAGAGATTCTTTGGATTTTGTTTGCTCCCTCCCAAAAACTTTTGGAAAATCTTTCTATTGTTTAAACGAATCTAGAAAAACTTTAGTTGCTGCAAAAATAAATTTCTTGTCTCTAAAAATTTTGAATTTTCCTAATTTTTTTTGGCAAAGTTCATCGAATGTAAAAATTGTTCAGAGATTCTTTGGATTTTGTTTGCTCCCTTCTGAAAACTTTTGGAAAATCTTTCTATTGTTGAAACGAATCTAGAAAAACTTTAGTTGCTGCAAAAATAAATTTCTTGTCTCTAAAAATTTTGAATTTTCCTAATTTTTTTTGGCAAAGTTCATCGAATGTAAAAATTTTTCAGAGATTCTTTGGATTTTGTTTGCTCCCTTCTGAAAACTTTTGGAAAATCTTTCTATTGTTGAAACGAATCTAGAAAAACTTTAGTTGCTGCAAAAATAAATTTCTTGTCTCTAAAAATTTTGAATTTTCCTAACTTTCTTTTCCCATGTTCATCGAACGTCAAAATTTTTCAGAGATTCTTTGGATTTTGTTTGCTCCCTTCTGAAAACTTTTGGAAAATCTTTCTATTGTTGAAACGAATCTAGAAAAACTTTAGTTGCTGCAAAAATAAATTTCTTGTCTCTAAAAATTTTGAATTTTCCTAATTTTTTTTGGCTTAGTTCATCGAATGTAGAAATTTTTCAGAGATTCTTTGGATTTTGTTTGCTCCCTTCTGAAAACTTTTGGAAAATCTTTCTATTGTTGAAACGAATCTAGAAAAACTTTAGTTGCTGCAAAAATAAATTTCTTGTCTCTAAAAATTTTGAATTTTCCTAACTTTCTTTTCCCATGTTCATCGAACGTCAAAATTTTTCAGAGATTCTTTGGATTTTGTTTGCTCCCTTCTGAAAACTTTTGGAAAATCTTTCTATTGTTGAAACGAATCTAGAAAAACTGTAGTTGCTGCAAAAATAAATTTCTTGTCTCTAAAAATTTTGAATTTTCCTAATTTTTTTTGGCAAAGTTCATCGAACGTCAAAATTTTTCAGAGAATCTTTGGATTTTGTCTGCTCCCTCCTAAAAACTTTTGGAAAATCTTTCTATTTTTGAAACAAATCTAGAAAGACTTTAGTTGCTGCAAAAATAAATTTCTTGTATCTAAAAATTTTGAATTTTCCTAATTTTTTTTTCCCATGTTCATCGAACGTCAAAATTTTTCAGAGATTCTTTGGATTTTGTTTGCTCCCTCCTAAAAACTTTTGGAAAATCTTTCTACTGTTGAAACGAATCTAGAAAAACTTAAGTTGCTGCAAAAATAAATTTATTGTCTCTAAAATTGTTGAATTTTCGAATTTTTTTTCATATGTTAATCGAACGTCAAAATTTTTCAGAGATTCTTTGGATTTTGTTTGCTCCCTCCCAAAAACTTTTGGAAAATCTTTCTATTGTTTAAACGAATCTAGAAAAACTTTAGTTGCTGCAAAAATAAATTTCTTGTCTCTAAAAATTTTGAATTTTCCTAATTTTTTTTGGCAAAGTTCATCGAATGTAAAAATTGTTCAGAGATTCTTTGGATTTTGTTTGCTCCCTTCTGAAAACTTTTGGAAAATCTTTCTATTGTTGAAACGAATCTAGAAAAACTTTAGTTGCTGCAAAAATAAATTTCTTGTCTCTAAAAATTTTGAATTTTCCTAATTTTTTTTGGCAAAGTTCATCGAATGTAAAAATTTTTCAGAGATTCTTTGGATTTTGTTTGCTCCCTTCTGAAAACTTTTGGAAAATCTTTCTATTGTTGAAACGAATCTAGAAAAACTTTAGTTGCTGCAAAAATAAATTTCTTGTCTCTAAAAATTTTGAATTTTCCTAACTTTCTTTTCCCATGTTCATCGAACGTCAAAATTTTTCAGAGATTCTTTGGATTTTGTTTGCTCCCTTCTGAAAACTTTTGGAAAATCTTTCTATTGTTTAAACGAATCTAGAAAATCTTTAGTTGCTGCAAAAATAAATTTCTTGTCTCCAAAAATTTTGAATTTTCCTAATTTTTTTTGGCAAAGTTCATTGAATGTCAAAATTTTTCAGAGATTCTTTGGATTTTATTTGCTCCCTCCTAAAAACTTTTGGAAAATCTTTCTATTGTTGAAACGAATCTAGAAAAACTTTAGTTGCTGCAAAAATAAATTTCTTGTCTCTAGAAATTTTGAATTTTCCTAATTTTTTTTGGCAAAGTTCATCGAATGTCAAAATTTTTCAGAGATTCTTTGGATTTTGTTTGCTCTCTTATGAAAACTTTTGGAAAATCTTTCTATTGTTGAAACGAATCTAGAAAAACTTTAATTGCTGCAAAAATAAATTTCTTGTCTGTAAAAATTTTGAATTTTCCTAATTTTTTTTTCCCATGTTCATCGAACGTCAAAATTTTTCAGAGATTCTTTGGATTTTGTTTGCTCCCTACTAAAAACTTTTGGAAAATCTTTCTACTGTTGAAACGAATCTAGAGAAACTTTAATTGATGCAGAAAAAAATTTACTGTATTTAAAAATTTTGAATTTTCATACTTTTTTTTGGCAAAGTTCATTGAACGTCAACATTTTTTTTAGAAAATCTTGGGATTTCTTTGCTCCCTTCTGAAAACTTTTGGAAAATCTTTCTATTTTTGAAACGAATCTAGAAAAACTTTATTTAATTCTGAAAAAAATTGCCTATCTTTAAATATTCAAATTATCCAATTTTTATAAGTCTCAGTTTCATGAAAATTTTGAATTTTTGGAAACAAATTGTTGAAGTTTTAATTATTTATATCTATTAAACGTAACTCCAAGCATAGTAACATTTTTTTCTCTTGCAGAAACTGCGTTGCAATGTCATTTCCTTCTTATAGTCTGGACACTCGATGAGTTTCTGTTGAGAAATAAGAATTTTCTGTTTATTTGATTTTGAAAATGTCTTAACATTTTTTGAGCTAGAGTGCACGTTATGGTAATTTATTATTAAAAAGTGAAAATGCACTTTCTGGCGAAAATCGTGTAAAAATTGTGTATTAAAAAATTTCTTTTTTTTTACAAAGCTTAGAAATATCTAAGTTCATCAAACATAAGTTTTTACAAAATGCTGAATTTCTTGTTAAGAAGGCGTCAAATATTTTTTACTTTACGCAAAAATATTTGTAATTTATTTTTTCTGTTTTGCTGGCAATTAGAGTATTCGTACATTTTCTGTTTTATAGAATCTGAATTTATTTTCAATTTTTTTAGGTTTTAAAGATTATGTCAATCGAAATTAAAATCTAGTGGTATAGCTTAATATGCAGGATATAGTTTTGCTTCATCAACAGTAACGTTACATTTGATTCAAATTCAATTAGTTTTAATCAGACTTTACTTTTACTCAAATAACTTACAGAAATGTTTTAAAGTTTCATGTGGAAAAATAAAACAATATTTACAGATAGTGTATTATATATTATTATATAAGATTATAATGCAATTTTTTTTAATTATTTAGATCCTACAAATTACAAATTAATATATTAACTATATACATGACGCATTCCCAAGAAATGTAACCAAGAAGCAAACGAATTATAAATTATTCTATTTGTTTGATAAATTAGTCAATATTTTAAGTATAATTAGTACAATTTCCAAAATTTAGAAAAAGTGAATTGAAAGTTTTTAAAAAAAATTTGTATTTATTGAAAAAACAAATTATAAATATTGAAAAAAAATGTTTTTTTTAAAATAAATAGTTCTCGAACGAAATGTTCTATTAATACTAATATTAGTAATAATTAATAGTAGTAATTGATATTAATTAAAAAAAAATATGAACAATAATTGACAATAACTCTAATGAAAGCAAGTCTTGAAGCAATTTGAAGTCGATTTAAATTGTTTCCTCGTCTCTGGTTGCCTTGAGGTTGATTCGACATCTTTTGGTGTCTCTGTCCACTTGCAGAAAGCTAAAAAAATTGTTTTAATTAGAAAAAATTTGATTATTATTTTATTAATTTACATAATTGTGTTCTATAATTTAATGAAAAGTTCATTTCCACACGCAAATCAATTTATGAACGTTAATTACTAATTGAAAATTTTAATTTTAATTAAAAATAATTATTTAACAATTACAATTCAAATTTTTTATTTTAGAATCATAATAAAAGCATTATTAACAAGAAAAATAAATATAATGATGTAAAAATAATAGAAATTCAAATAGTGTAAATAATAATAATAATAATAAATAATATTTGTAAAATATAGGAATGTATAAAACGTTAAAATAAAAATATACAATTAATACAATTATTTATTTACTACCATAAATAAAAAGAAAAATAATAAATAAATAAATAATAAAAAAAGACAAATAAAAAAGATCTGCTTTGTACATTTTTTTAATGAATTATTTTTCTCTTCCTTAAAAAATGTGATGCGATTTTACTTTTATACCCTTTCAATTGAATAGTAATTAAGTTTTCTCTATTTTTTGAGTGTCAGCAAAAAAATGTTTATTATTAAAAGAAAAACAAAATTTAATTCACCTCGAATAAAACTTTTTACATAACTGTACACTCTTAATAATTTTGATTTTAATTACTAACTTCTCTTACAATTTCAATTTGTTTTCCATTAATTGATATTTTATTTAATAATACATACAATTCTTTTTATGTTAATTATCAAACAATTCTTTTTCTATTGATTTATTTTACAATTCATTTTTATTTCTTATTATTATTATTATTATTATTAAATATAAATTATTAGTAAACATTGTAAACATAAATAATATAAGAAAAAAAAATTATTGAAAGTAAAATTGAAACTAACCTCTAAATTGGTATCCATTATTATTCTCATTATTTTTTTTTCATTTGGAACTGTTGACAATCAATCCACATAATTAATTAAGACAGGCAATAACTCTGTCACTTCTTAATTATTTAATTAATTAATTAATTAATTAATTAATTAGTTCATTTTACAAAATTGTAATTAGAATTATATAACACTAAATAATCATAACATGTATTTTTAATACTAATTAATTAATTAATTAATTAATTAATCAATCAATTAATTAATTTTAATAATTAAACACTTTATTTATTGAATCACCACCAGGAATCCTGATCACCACTCATATTATTTTCTGAATTCTACAAAAATGTCTACGACTATGTGAATTTTACAAATACGCAAACTGAAACAATGTCGGCATCTCGCGGACTTCTCACAACTACATTTTTATCATTTTTGCAGATTTCTCCAACATCATCGAAAACAGCACTCACTATAGCATATTGGGTCAAACGCCGCTTGGGGAAATTTGCCGTTGGGGAATTTTGATAGTTACCAGACTCACCACGAAGCAAAGATGCGCGTCTGCTTCGGCGTTCCCGTCGGCCATTTAATTCATTCTCATTTTGGCGTCTTTGTGACAGGTCGCAGTAGACCTTTTTCATAATAAAAATTAAATTAAAATTACATTATTGTGTGTAAACCTCCTAAAAAGATGAGCCGAGGAACAATGAGGGGACGTCGGCGCATCTCCGGTGAGTCTCAAGAGTAATAATGTGTTATCTCCCTGTGAATATCGATCAAAATTAATAAATGTCAAATTTCTTTGTTTCACGACATTTCTGTAATTTGAACAGGTCCCGTCTGGACCTGTAATTTATTATTATTAAATCAAAATTTAAACATTAACTGGTGATTTCTCTTACCCCGCGCTCTCCTTGAAAAGATTGAGCTAGCATAAAATTAATTAAAATAATAGGTTTGAATATTTTTCCATAAAATATCTCTGGCGTTTGGGCATTAATTTAAACAACAAAGTAACGTGTGTTTTATTTAATTAGTTGATCCTAAAGTAAACAAAAATAAATTCTTGAAATAAAATAACCTTATTTAGAGTTATAGTATATATACCCGTTATAGTATATATAAGGAAAGTATATTTGGAAGTATAGAGAGTCGTTTGTCGTCCTTTTCTTATCATTGGTCTGTCTCGTTTATTGTCAAGTCTCTCTTACATTTCGAAAGGGTCAGCGACCCTTTCCTAATTTCTCTTTAGGTCCGGCCTGGAAGGAGAAGACAAGGAAGTTATGATTCAGAATTTGTTTTGATGGAAAAAGAGGATGAGATTCGCATACAGTAGTTTTAGTTTTTCTGGAAGAAGGCATTGAGCAATTAGCAGATTCTGTCGGAACGCGTTTAGAGTTGGATGCATCATGCATCGAGTGTTGTAATAGCGAAGTGTTTCGCGAGAGAATATTTGAGGCTCCGGATCTTAAAAGGGCACTTTCACCATGTAAAGTCTATGCGGAAAGTGCCCTTTTAAGATCCGGAGCCTCATTTATTGAGTAGTTTTTTTAGTTTATTTATTTATTGCCGTTAATGTAGTTAAATTTAGGTTGTTTTGTTTAAAATAAATGTTGTTATTTTACAAAGTGTTGTGTTTGATTGTAACGGAAAACTCATTGTCTGTTTCCCGCCAAAAAAGTGTTCGAATTTAGATACAACAGGTAAACGCTAGAATTCACAATAAAATCCGGAGTTGGAGGTTGCTGCATCGCAACGAGATCTTCTCAGCGGAATTTCCCTTCGATGAGTTTATTGGTTTCATAGTCGTGTAGAGATAGAGTAATTTGGTTCAGCGTGCGTAAAAATTTAAATTGAGGGAAAACGATGCAAATTAAGATAACTTTTGCTAACAAAACGACCGTCACGATCGACTTAACAACAAACACGTCTGACTTTAACGAAGATTCGGGTATAACCGAGGGGCTATTTACTTGTGTATTAGCGTGTTCGCTCCTCCCGTAATAGTCACGTAATAGAGCATTATAACGTCAGTGTAATACCACATAATATAAAGGTAATATTCTGTAATGATCAGTAATACCCTGTAATAGTTCTGTAATACCCTATAATATTAGATAATGCGCGTAATAGCAGGAAAATTTAGTGTGGTAGAGTGTACACCATTTTAACCAGTAATTACCCCCTCGGGTATAACTCAGTCAATTTTACTTAAAATATATAAAATGTGCAGAAATTATACAAAGTTTAAATGTTGATGTGTAAATGGTAAAAGCTACTCTATATTTTTTCATGTAATTAATAACTCTGACAGTTGCAACATTATAAGAAAAAAAGCAGAATTGCAGAAGCTTCATCTCTCCTTTTGATTCGAATAATTTATAATTATATATGTAGAATGAAGTTAGTTTTGATCCTCTTTATCCGGAATAAGATGTTGTGTAGGATAGATTTTGCCTTTATAGGATCAAAAAAATTACTCTATTACTATAAAAGTAATTTAGTAATAATGATGTTTATTTTGACGACATTTCGATCCCATGAGCAGGTATCATCATCAGGGCGATAGAAAGAATTACATAAGTTTTTAAAAAGTAAGTTTTTGGATCCAATAAAGGCAAAATCTATCCTACACATCATTTTATTCAAGATATAGAGGATCAAAACTAACTTCATTCGACATATCATTATTCCTGCATCACACAAAGATGAGTCGAAAAGCCAGCTTAAACTCATTTTTCGTCCTTGTAAAAACTTATATAATTCTTTCTATCGCCCTGATTATGATACCCGCTCATGGGATTAAGGGTATGTCCAAGTTGTGAAATGTAAACAAACCAAACACAAAAATCGCACTTTTGTAACAGACGTTTCTCTTACAAAAATTAACATTTTCACACTTTCTCTACAAAAATGGAAAATTAGAGTTTCAAAGTGTCCAAAAAAATCATTTTTGGCTATGAGCTATAAAAAGCAATTAGTAAAATAACTAATTAAAGTGACCTGTAAAATGGCATTTTTGACGCGTCGCGAAAATAAAACTGTTTGAGTATATCAACCGCACTGACGATGAAGAAGTCTCATGTCAGCGATTGGACCTTCAACATGTGGAAACGGAAATTTTTCTCTTTCCTCCTTGAAATTACAAGAGAAAGGGTAAAAACTTACTCATCGTCCGTGAGGTTGATATAGTCAAACACTTGAATTTTACGCGATCTGAGACTCTGTTGCTCTCTGCGCAAGCGCAGAGCGTACTAAGAATGCATTGACAACACCATGTGGAAATGCACATTTTCTTTTGAATGAAACTTAGTTGTTTTCTCATTTTCTTACATAAATATAAATTCACATTTTCTTTATAAAAATGGTGAACTGACGTACTCTATTTGGTAACTACGCCTTGCATAGCTGAAAGAAATGAGAAAACAACTAAGTTTCATTCAAAAGAAAATGTGCACTTCCACATGGTGCTGTCAATGCATTCTTAGTACGCTCTGCGCTTGCGCAGAGAGCAACAGAGTCTCAGATCGCGTATATTTCAAGTGTTTGACTATATCAACCGCACGGACGATGAAGAAGTTTTTACCCTTTCTCTTGTAATTTCAAGGAGGAAAGGGAAAAATTTCCCTTTCCACATGTTGAAGGTCCAATCGCTGACATGAGACTTCTTCATCGTCAGTGCGGTTGATATACTCAAACAGTTTTATTTTTGCGACGCGTCAAAAATGCCATTTTACAGGTCACTTTAATTAGTTATTTTACTAATTGCTTTTTATAGCTCATAGCCAAAAATGATTTTTTTGGACACTTTGAAACTCTAATTTTCCATTTTTGTAGAGAAAGTGTAAAAATTTTAATTTTTGTAAGAGAAACGTCTGTTACAAAAGTGCGATTTTTGTGTTTGGTTTGTTTACCTTTTGGTTTGTTTACATTTCACACCTTGGACTTACCCTTAAAACGTCGGCAAAAAAACATCATTATTACTAAATTACTTTTATAGTAATAGAGTAATTTTTTAGATTCTATAAAGGCAAAATTTATCCTACACAACATCTAATAATTATATAGTTGTAAAGAAAATAATGAAGAATAAACATGACTCAGATTTAAAGTTTAATGAAAACCAATGAAATTGAAAATATAATTGTAGGTATCAGATAACATTATTTTAAGGAAATTTGTTTAAACAAACATTATTATTTGTGGAGAATGCAGAGTAGAAAATTGAAAGGAAAGAATAGAGAATTAAAGTAAAGTTAATTAATGATTTAGGCCAGTTTCACCAATTCCAATTAAAAATTAATAAATGATGATTAAAGTCAATTTAACCGCTCATGAAGGGTCGGTTATGGATTTAATTATTGATTAACTTGTATTGGTGAAACCGGACCTTATAATGATAATGAGATCAAATTGAATAGAAAACTAATTAGTATAAATTAATGGAAAACTAATTAATATTCTTGTGTTTTAGGATTAGATCGAACCAATCAAAGAACAGATACACAGATGTTTTGTGCTACGACCATAGCAGAGTTTGTTTATCTCTATTAGATGGTGATTCAACTTCTGATTATATTAATGCAAATTTCGTTGATGGTTATAAACAAAGAAATGCGTTTATAAGTACTCAGGGTCCATTACCAAAAACTTGTGGCGATTTTTGGCGAATGATCTGGGAACAACAAACACTTGTCATCGTCATGACAACTAGGTATGATGATACAGTTTTTATTTATATAACAATTTACTAATTATTAATTAATTGAATGTTATTATTATTTATATATAGTAATGATGCTATCACTCGGTCGATAAAATATTAAGATGATGAAAAAAATCGATCACTCCGAGTCAGGATTAATCGATTTTTTTCATCATCTTAATATTATTATTATTTGTTTATTTTTTTTTGGAAGTGGAAAGCCTGTAAAAATTCAAAGATACCTAAATTAAATCTAAGGTTATGTAGGGTTGATTGCTCCTGTGTTGGTCAATCCAATTTTAATACCACTCCCGTCTATGGCTGGACATTTTTTCCTGCTGAAGTACTTTCAGACTTTAAACTTCATAGTAAAAAGTCCCTGTGATTTCGTTTGCGCGATCTGTGGTTTTCTCTTTCTTCCTTAAGATATTTGTTAATAGTCCTTGCGAGTCTTTTTAGCTTCTTCAAGAGTCATCCTGAAAACTACGTATACTCCATGTCCTAAGAAATGGTTGATGTTCACCACGCCGCCAAACTTTGCTCTGCATAAGAAGCAGCTTGCACCTCCTTGTTGCGTCATAGGAGCGTTACCATTCTACTTCTAAACTTTCAGAGCTATTGTTCCAGCGTCTCTGGGACTAGGGCTTCATTCTTGTTTTCATGCGGGCTCACGTTTGACTTCTAGAAATTCTTCTCTTCATCCTCAACTTTATATTCTCCTCTGTGCAGCTAATTGCAAATTTTAGGCGATCGAACCCGTGGTGGCACGGGATTCAGAATTAGCCATCCGTAGTCACAAAAATTAACTAAAGAAGACATGCAGGGTGATTACAGCTTACTAAGTACAGCGTAAACCTGAGACGCAGGAATACTATAATTATATAGTATTCCGATGAAGTAGGCAGCGCCGCGCCATGGTGTACTGGCAGATTAAATAATTATACCCAGAGATAGGAACTTTATGCTTGAGCATAAAAGTATATATTTCAAAAATGTGGTGTAGTGTTAAAATTCACATTAAAATGTATTTCTGAACAATTATAATTGCAATTTACGAAAGCATTAAAAAGCGTAATTTTTGTTGCTAAGCAGCATATATGTTGCATAAATCAATAGCTTTAAACATAATATCATAATTATTGAGCATAAGTGTTCAATATTTTGATAACTTGAGATACAGTTTCTAATTTATATTTTTAAATATTTTATTTACAAAAAATTGTACATTCTCTAAGCGTTAGGAAAAAAATTACAATCAGCTTTTAAAAAGCTTAGACCAGAAAAATTCCCTGGTAAAAATTTCGGACTAATTCCGGAATAAATACGGACAGATTAGTATGGATTAGTCCGAAAATTGTACGAAAAAGGTCCGAAAATGATCTGCGCTAGTCTGATATCAATCCGAACGAAAACCGGAATCCGAAAACACTCCGGAGTAATCCTGAATATTCAGTCCGTAATTAGTCCACAACAATCTAAATTTATGACCGGTGAAGAATTCTTATAAAATAAGTACGGAATTATCCGATATCAATATGTAAAGAATACGGAATCAGTCTGCAACAATCCGAGTTTAATCTAGTTAAAAAAACTAACTTTAATCCAACTTAAAGGTATAATCCGAAACAAATACGAAATAATCCGAAATCTGTACACAAAGAATCCTAAAAATCAGTCTGGAGTAATCTTAAATGTCTATGAATTAAATCCGTAATTATTACGCAACAATCCGAAATTATGTCCGTCAAAAAACTCATCTAAAATAAATACGAAATAATCCAAAATTAATATGTAAATAATACGAAATCAGTCCGCAATAATCCGAATTTAATCCAGTTAAAATATTTAATCTGAAACAAGTATGGAACAATCCTAAATCTGTATGCAAAGAATCCGGTAACAGTCAGCATCAATCCGAATAATATCTGATCAAAACACCACAGTCCGAAAATAAGTCTTATTATTATAAGAATTTGTAAATATATACAATCCACAGGCAATTCAAAACAATCCATATTCAATCCAATTCAAAGACTTAATCCGGAATGATTTTGGTATAATATTTAATTTGTATATTAAAAACAATTTGTATTAAATGCAGATAAATTCAAACTATAATTATAATTTCGTATGACAAAAACCTGACCAAAACCAGATTAATTCCGGATTTAATAATTTCACATTTGCAAGTGGCGTATTATCAAACTAACTTCGGACTAGATCGGACTAATTTCGGATTCACTGGTTATACACAAACCGCATTGAGTTTGAATTCATCCGGACAAATTCTGAGCGACAAAAACCTGTCCATAAGCAGACTGTTTCGGATTAGCTGCGGATTCACTGGTTAAACCAACCGGATTACTTCTGCATTTACTAGTCGCATATGATCTAACTAACTGCAGACTAAACCGGACTAATTACGGATTCAATAGTTATAAAAAACGGTCCAACTTTTTATTCAGGGTATTTACTTATGGTGAATAAAATATTTAATTCTGCAGTCAATTTGTTTTTACAAATTTACTAGTATTATTAGTTATCTTGTTTCAATATTAAAATTAACACTGATGTGTTAATTTCTTGTCATTTCTTTTCATGGCACTTCATAAATTCTATTATGTATTTGAACTCTCATGCGAGCGTGGTATAGTGGTTAGTGTATTCGACTTCGGTGCGATATAATGTTAGATAGGTGTAGGTTCGAATCTCCAAGCGTTAGAAATTTTAAGTTAATGTAAATAAAATTGCGATAGGTAAATCGAAAAATATGTTTAATGTACCATAAAGTAATAATAATTAATATGTGTAACTTGTATAATTTTTTTTAATAACATTCACTAAATTGTCTGGACTAATTTTTGACTGTTTTGGACTAATTCCGGATTCACTAGTTAAAATTAACTGATTAATTTCGGACTTCATCGGACCAACTCCGGTTTCACTAGTTGTTCACAAACCGTATAGAGTTTGAATTTTTCCGGATTAATTTCGGGTGACAAAAACCTGACCATAAACCGCATTGTTTCGGACAAATTTCGGATTAGTCCGAAATCTGTCCGGTTTTTTAACCAGGGTTAGTTTTATTAGTTACATTTTTGTAATATTACAATGTGTTATCTACAAATGGGGATAGTGCAACATTAAGAGCAAAAAAGTTTCTAATTGTAAATTCATTTTTAAAATTAAGTATGTTTTTATAAATATTAAGTAAAAAAACAAATTTTCAAATGTAAACCATAATAAATGCATAAAAACATTTTTAAGAGCATAATTATAGTATAATGGACATTATTTAGGAGCATAATTGAGGCATATATAATAGTATTGTGAAAGCATAAAGTTCCTGTCTCTAATTACACCTGCAGTATTGCACGGTGGGGCGAAAGGGTCGATCGCCCCCCCCCAAACTCACTTACTCACAGTTTAATATTAGGTATTAATATCTATGCCTTCATTACTATAAGGTTTTAATTTAAGAATCGCCCCCCCAAAAAAAAATTTGCTTGAATTCGCTAAGTATCGGTTGTTAATATTGGTCGAATATTGGCAACAAAGAGACAAAAAATTATTTAATTAAAGAATAATAATAAATTAATGTATTTAATGTTTATAATTTTTGTTTAATTATTTATTTTTAATAATTTATGTAAATAATAAATAATTTATAAATTATAATTGCTTTTAAAGCTTAGAATTATCACGTAAACTGCGTGTAGTGTAGGGGAGACTAGGTGCAGTTGTTACAAATGGAATATCTCAGAAACAGTGAATTGTAGAGATGGGGTTCCAAAAGGAAAAATGGTTAGTTTTTATGTACGAACTTTCTGCAATATGTTTAAAAATTATATACAAGCTTTACAAGTAAAAAAATAGGCACATTTGTTTTTAGAGGCCAAAAGTAGAGTAGTACCGACAGAAGTGGGCCACACTTTGGTTTTCATGCTTTAGAATATTCAGAAATTAACATTTTTGAACACTTTTTGCGTTTATTTGTATAGAAAGGGGTTACCTAACTTTAGGCAAACACACATTTTGAAATTTTTAATTTTAACATATTATTTAACATCGTTATGCAAAAAAAGAGAAATTTACGATATCATGATTTTGTAGACAGAAGTGGGCCACCTAAGTTTTTCATCTAAAATAATAAAAGGGATCTAGCACTATGATTGTTTATGTTAAATTATTAATTTTTTCAATAAAATAGTATTGTAAAACCAAGCACAAGAAGTGCGTTCCGAAATTTTATTAATTTTTATTTGATTTATATAGCATAAAGTAATTTGTCGTAGTCAATGAGTTCATAGCCAGTCGGTTTAGCCTTTCTTGGTGGCATGATAGCTAAAAATTCAAATTAATTCATAGAACCACTTCATTCGTTTATACAAAATCACCTTATGTCAAATCAGAACGTCAATGCAGTTGTCCACTTCTGTTTTCAGAAAATGGCCCACTTCTGTCCACAAGCATAATTTGACGAGAAATAACGTGGCCAGAACACCTCGCGACAATATGAAACAGTCCCTTTAAATTTTTTAAGGTTAGGTCTGATACTATAATAAAGGCTACTTGCCCGATTGAATTCGATGAATACCTTATATAAACAACGGTAACTTCTACAATGACCTTCTGTTGATAACAAAAGAAAAAAAAATTTCGGTTGACAGATATGTCACTAGTAAAACCAAAAACGTCGATTTCTATGAGGATTAAGCTTTAAGAAACTGCCTTGGTTGTCCACATTTAGTGTATACTTTTTTAATAAAGTGATTTATTGTAGAAAATGTACTTGCTTTGCAGTTATTACAAGTGATGATGACAACCGATATTTTTTCTAAAATTCATCAGATTTCGTTTGAAATGTAAAATATTTGTCAAAAATGTTATTACACTCATTTTTTATGAAAAATCTCATGTTTTTTCTAAATTCGACTTCAAAGTTAATGAAAAAACAACTTTTAAAAATTTTTTCATTTCGAAACAATATTAGTGCTGCCATCTCTATG